ACCTACTACCACCACCACGAGAATTAGGAACAATACCTTCAACATGAATCATTCGAGCATCAATCAGCGGAGATAGAACAGAAGCCACAGAGCGTTCAATGTGACCCACTTGAAGGGTTCTCGTATTGAGGACTTTGATAGCGTTTGAGTCATAAGGGTTCAAGGGTTGGCGAACCAGACCCACCATTTCGCGGCCGCTGATAGTGCCAGAGTAGTGCTGGAGGCCGACAATGTTGGCGATAACGAAGCCGAGCATATAAGAGTCGTTGGAGGATTGGGAGAGTTGGTCGGGGTCGGGGTCTTGGTCGTGGTCTTGCCATTGGTCGAGAGTCATGAAGAGGGCAATCGGGTCTTGATCTTGGAGGTCTTGTTTAAGTTCCATGAAGTGGTGGGGTTTTGGCTGTGAGCGAGCGAGCGTCTGTTTATATAAAGTGGATTTAGCGTTGGATGTTAACGAAGAGACAGAGAGCAGCGAGACGGTTTGAGTTTTGAGTTGAGTTTGAATGGAACGAGAAAGGCGGGTTTGGATAGAGAAAACCGTTTCTCAGACCTACACACAAGCCCTCATTACATTTGGGCTCCAACCAGGCCACCTTGGGTTAGGCCTGTCCTGGGGTTGATTTTCATATGGTTAGTCTGGGTTTTATTTTTATTAATTAATTAATATTATTTTTATTAAAATATATTATTTTTATTATCTACTGTTATGTGATATGACATTGTTTTATATGAACATATTTAGGGTTCTCGGAACTTTTTAAAAACCTTTATGTAATTATTTAAAACCCTCTTAAAATTATTAAAAATTCTCCTGTTTGTGGAAGGTTTTCGATTTTTATGCCTAAAAAATCAGAGCTGACGTTAGCCTATGTCAGAAAGCACCGATCAGAGTTTAGGAAGACTTTGCACCATCCAGGAGCTGCCACATTGCTCTATGACAGAACGAATATGGTTGTCATCAACTTAGTAGATTCAGGTTTCGTCTATAAGTAATGGAGGATAGCACACATGTCTAAGCCCCTGATAATTTGAGGATATTTCTTAAATTATTTGTCAATGGGAGGCAAGAAAGGACTTGCACGGTACCTACTCACTTGCAGATTTATAATGATCACCTTGAATTCCTCTACTATAAATAGAGGACTCCCCTCTCATGTTCAAGATTCTGATACTGAACCCTCATTCTGATTATATTTTTTTATTTTTTGAGCAAAGTTAACCTACGGGAAAAAGACAGACTTGATATTCTCTCTGAATACTCAGTTATTGTACATCTGTTTGCTGTTCGCTATACGCGGTCTTTTGTAATCTCTCATATATAAAAGAAACAGTGGACATATGATTCACTTTAAGCATCTGAACCACTTTAAAAATCATATCTCTCATTTATTATTCAATCTTTATATCTAATTATAATTATTCACATGTAATTTCTAAGAATGCCTTAGCACTTTACACGTGCAAGTCATTGGTGTCAAAATCACATATAAACATTGATAGTTTCAAAAAATAAGTGTGCTAACATTAAACAATCCCATAAGAGGTGTATGAAATAAACCCCTTATCGGATGTTTTCAATAATTTTTGAAATCCTTAGGAGTGTGTTTGGATCGGGGTCATATAAGATAATAGGAGTAATCTTCATTTATTTTGTAATATTCCATTATTTGGTTTATAAGTAATAAAATATTACATGTATTTTTTATTACAAATAGTGTTTACTGTTGGTAATATAGGGGATAATATGATACCTTCCCTCTAAGGTGTTATTAAAAGGTTACTAGGTAATCTGATTTTTATACTTATTTTATCTTTAATTAAATACTATTTCGGACACAATTGCCCTCAAATGTCTATCAAATAACCATTCCTAGCCCCCATACATTTGAGAATTTAGCTAAAACAGCCCAGCCATAAAAAAGTTCAAAAGTTAACAAAATATCCCTAGTCACCCAAGACCACTACCGGCTTTATTTGTCGTAATGGCGTACGACCAACAAGATTTGGCTGGTCGTGCGCTACTCAGGTCGTTTCTATGGCTGTTTCACAATCACATCTTTGGCCGTGAAACGGCCACGGATCTGTGATCCATAGTCAGAAATGACTTTGTCGGTGCATGTTCGATCATATACGACCAGTCGTGCGCCATTCTATCGACTACCAACGATGGTAGCTGGCTACTAACAGTGACTTGGGGTGGATGGGGGTGATTTTGTTATAAATTAAAGTTTTATATTACTGGGGTATTTTAGCAAAATTTCAAATATAGGGGGTTAAAGAATAGTTCAAAAAATAATATTATATTAATATTTAAAAGGAGGACAATTCAGTAATCTATATAACATACTCACCTATTTATTCTCCCAACCAAACATATAAATATAACATATTAACCAATTTATTCAAATCAACCAAACAAAATTCCCTAAACATTTTTAGTAATCTTTAATGTGATGTATCTTTCTATTAATATAATATCTTTCTATAATAAAATATTATATGATCCAAACGTACCCTAATGTATTAAAATTAAACAATCCCGCGAACCCCTCCTCAGTGTCAAAAATTTTGTAACCCTACAACCGGTTCATTTCCGTACTCATTCTCCTATTTTCATTTTATCAACTTGTAATTTGTGCAAATGTCGTTAGTTTACAAATTTCATTTTTTAAATTGAAAAAATTATAAAACAGAGCGAATGGTTGCACGCTTATTTTGAAAGAAAAAAGAAATTCATAAACGTGTTTTTATGTTCTGAATACTCATAATTTAAATTAATCTTATTTTCAATACTTTTATAAAGTAGAAAACACCACCATAGAGCACAGACGAGAACATCTTAAAAACTGGAGTATAATCAACTAAAAGATATATAAGTCCAAATAAGTAGATTTGGTATAAGGTTTTTCAACTTGAAAAACTCAAGAGTATAATCAAAATACATATAATTATTGAAACTATAATGATAACAATTTGGAAGACACATTAGTGAAAGTTGAGTTATTGATAACAATTTAAATTGGTTTGTCATAAATAAGTATATATATGCTTAATATAAAACCACAAAAAATTGTACTAAAGTTTCATTAAATTTTATAAATAAACAGTTATCATATTGGCAAAAAAATGAGATATTTAAATGAATAGTAACATAATTTTTACCTAATATGTTAGTCCCGCACCATAAATTGAAATATCGTAGTTTGCAGAACTAGTAACATGGCAAATATGCTTTCTAGAGAAACAGTTATCGCCCACCCTTGTAAAGATCTTTATGGGTTGTGTTAATGCATGATATCAACTAATTGCTATGTTTGAACTAAGAGTATATGTCCCCATGCACAAAGAGGTTGTAGCCTCCATATTGTTTGAAATAAAAGGCACACTGCTAAGCCCTAAACCCTAAATTCTAAATCTCGAGTTTTATTTTGAAGATTGTAATCTTAACATGAAACATATAACCCAATATTGTAATCTTAACATGAAACATATAACCCAATAAATAGTTGTATGATTCATAAGCTGGGATTCTTTGGTGAAGCAACTCAGGGTCCATAAGTTGGCAGTCCATTCTTCTAGCTTTGTGCTACACTCACTAGAATGGCATCTTTGAGGCACCACAGATAAAAATTGCCATTCCTTCAATTTACATGTTTGTTATTTTGCAATCATATATATATATATATATATATATATATAATAGGTTTAACAAATGCTGGATACCAAAGAAAATACCACTCAAAAAGGGTCAAGCAGAGAGCAATAGTTTTGACTACAGGATTAACAGCATAACTCAGTCCAACATATCAGAGCAGCTAAATCACAATCAGACCATCATTCTTGGAGAAATCTCTATCATCCAAATCATAATTTAGAGAAAGCAATCTGAAAATTTTATATTTCTAAATGTTTATCCTTCTGTAAGAGATGAGACTAATACATGGAAAGAAATGAGACAGAAATACTCTTATTACACATTATATGTTAAAGCAGCTTCTTCAGCTTCCAGGTAATGATTCCACAACAATCAAGAAGCTCGGACTATATATGTCTATGCTCCAAATCTATGCACACACAAGGCAAGTACATCAAGATTCCTGGGATCTAGAATAACCTGATTCCATGTTTACTAAACACCAATAAGTTTTGACCACCAATTTGTAGTAACATAAGCAGCACTAAAATAATTATGGCTTCAATTTTCAGAGACTGTACTTTATTGGAAAGTTAAGATTGAGTTTCGCATAATGGAGGACTATGATAGGCAACATTGCTGATCCTAGTTAATCAAATAACAAGCGAAAAGAGAAAACAAGAAAAGAAGTCCTCCTAATCAGATCTCCAATGTGAAGAAATTAAATATGCCAGGAGATTTCCCTTACCTGAGAAGCATCTAATCTGGCTTTGAGTATCTTCTTTCATCTTGATGGAATTAAATACCAACACAGACGCCACCAACCAGCTCTTAAACCATGAAATTTGAGCATGCCAACAGGATACTACAACAGTAAATGGCTAGAGGCTTATTGACTAAAATTTCATTCTAAGAGAGCAGTATTAGATCTCATACAAAATGAAATCGCGTGATCCCAAAAATTTATTTCTTACAGGTTTCCAAAGTGATCCATTGGTGCTTTCTTACTGCAGTTAAATGAGTTAACTTATTTATTTAACAGAAGTTCCATAAATTGACATTTTAATTTCAACACAAAGTCAAATAATAGTTTAGTATATGTGATTATGATGATTCTTCCTGATTTTCACTCAAACATTATTGTCTTCCAAGCTAGCATAAACACAGTTTTAGTTATTTGATATCTGTAAAACATGTTTTTAGTCATAGACTATAGGAGAATCAGTTACCAATAAATCAAGTGCACTATGAGTACTATATTCTTAACAGTCAACTGTACGAATATTCATGAGTATGATGTAAAATATTTCATCATCTAATCCAGACAGTTCCAAAATGATGCAACATCACACCGCAAAAATTGACATAAAAAATTAAACAAGCAAACCCAAGCTTCATTCATAGCAACAAAAACTAAACAAAACTCAAAATAGAGAATACAATAACACAGATTAAACAAAGACACAACAGAATAGAACAAGGTAGTGATGCAGACAAAATCGAGGGTTGTAGAAACTGTACAAGCAGGATAGACTGCAACTCATGACAATAGTTCCTTCTCACTATTTAAAGTTATTAGATAATACCACAAACCCATTTAAGTTACTATGATGGAGCAGTAGGAATCGTGGATGAGGGAGAGGGTTCTCGTCGGAGTTCCTTAACCACAGCAGCCAGAGCCTCAGGGTTCAGACCCAAGTCACAAAGGGCAATGAGAATTGAGAGGGTGTGACGATCAAGCCCCGTATCAAGAATGTTGGACATGTGAAACGCAAGGTCAAGGGATTCTCGGGCAGTTCGTGCAGCCTCTGGATCCATATCTAGGTACCACAAAAAAATTATGCTTTCTTGAAAACATTAGCGCAAATTGACCTACCTCACAAAATGAAACTTAAAATATAACTAAATTACACATACAACAATGTGTTCAACAACTCACAGCGCCAGATGAAAAATGGGAAAAAAAAACACAAAAATTCAGATGAATACACAGTATCTTTTAGTATGTATTCTCACTCACCAAGTGGATTAAAACATGTCGATTGAATAAAAACTAGAAGATTCTCATAATGATAAGATTCCACAAAACAACACGAGCAGAAATTGATACAAAGAACAGCATAGAAAAAACAGGAAAAAATAATAGAAAACTTTCTTCAGAGTTTCAACCCATTTGCACAAAATCACAAAAGTAGTTTCAAATTCTAGCAATCACCAGAAAATATTCGCAAAATTAAAATTATTGAATTGAACCACAATCCCATAGATAGTTTCAACACATTTGCACGTAAAAAATAGGAAACCCACAAAGCATCAAATACTAAAAGCCACAAAAACCTATGCAAACGGAGAAATAATTTCTATGGGACATTTAATCAAGCAAAATGCTGTGCATCAAAAAAACTTTGCCAATATCATATACAATCACGCGTTTTAACCTTGTTATGATGATAGAGAATCGCAACGGTGGAAATGAAAAACTCTCGTACCTTGATTCGAATTTGACAGAACGGCGGTGACGACGAGAGAGCAGAGATTGAAATGGGGAGAAGCAAGGGAAAGAGAGGTAAGAGTTACCGGGTCGGGCTCCAGTGGCCGTTGAAGCCCAAAAGTTTCCTCTTGAATTCTACTTGGTTGGCTCGATTTTGAATTGCAAGTTACATAAATCCTGGGTTTTCTTTTTCACTAGAATCATGTTAGCGATGTTTATGTACAAATTTATTATTAGGTGATTTAAATTAAAATTTTATTGGAAAAAGTTGAATAAATATATGTAAAAAATAGTTTGTATATACACCATTTCATATGTTCACAAATCCTTTACCAAAGTTGAAATATGTAACTGGTAATTCTATAAAGTATCACATCCTTTTGATGATGAAATGAATGTAAAATATGAAAAGTAATATGGAATTTGTCATTTTCAGTTTGAATAATGCTTTAGTATTTTGCACATACAAATCATTGGTGTTAAAATCATGTATCAACAAATAGATTATTAAATTAGATTATATACTTTTGCTCAACAAGAATATTTCAAAAAGAGTGGTCAAAATGGGACAAAGCGTGGCCTAAAGATGTGATAAAGGCCCAAAAGGCAAAAGCATCTCATGGGTCATAATCTACAAAAGATCAAGACTTAAATCATGATGATCCAATCCTCCAATAGCCAAGCACCATGTTACTGCTCACCAAGGGTGTTCAAAAAAACTGGTTGGAACCGGAACCGACGGGTATTCAGGATTTGGTTCCGATTCCTACCGAAACCGGCTGTCAACGGACAGGTTCTGGTTTTAAATTTTTAGAATCTTTATTGTGCGATTCTGGTTCTGATTCCTATAGTTAAGAACTGGAACAGGAATCGGGAACTGAGATTAATATAAAATAAAATTAAAGAGTAGGGGGGTTAATAAAAACTTTCGTAGAAAAAGTAATGTAAGTACATTTATATTTATATTTCATAACATTTAAAGTAAGTTGGTTTGACTTTTGAGAATATATCTTTACAAAGTAATGGAGTTTCTAATTTTGAATTTTGAATTTATAATTTGTAATTTTATTTTTATTATAAAGTGCCAGGTGGGGGAGTATTTGTAAGTTTTTAAGAGGTTTTTTGCCATTTTAAAAACTTTAGGGGGTCATTGTAATTTTATAGGGTACCTAGAACCAGAACCGGAACCATTGTTATAGGTTCTGGTTCTGGGTACTTAGGAACTGGAATAGTCGGTTCTGGTTCTGGGTACTTAGGAACTAGAATAGTCGGTTTTGGTTCTGGTTCCAAATTACAAGGAACTGTCAGTTCCAATTCCGATTTTTTTAAAAAATACAGGGTACCCAGAACCAAAGACCCCTACTACTCACCATCTCTATAAGGATATTAATCAATAAATGTATTTATACTCTTCAACCTTCGTAACTATCAAGTTCAGTCACCATGACATTAAGAATGGAAAGCTACACTACATCCAATCATATTGTAACCAGCCAACATTTGGAATTTGAAGCCATTAAAAATGTAACATACAGTCTAAAAATCCCTCCATTATTTTACACCCAAGACTATATTATAGAGAATAGAATGGGAACCATGTGGTCAACGCACTCAATTTCTATTAGTATTACACTATACTCCGAGTTTCTACATAAAACAAGTTACTCAAATTATTAACTTAAATATCGGAAAGGAGGTCATGCTAACAACTCAACTCACGACATTTTTTTATATTTAATATTTGGTTTCTATAGCTATAAAAAAATTAGAGCTTCATAGAGTGCGGTTGAGATTGCTGTAGCTTAATAGTTAATCACTTAATTTTTTAGCTTGATTATAATTAAGTTAGGACAATAAAAGTGTTTGGTAAATAATTGTTAAAATTAATTAAGTTTCAAGCTTATAAAAGAATTTAAAATAATTTTTCTGCCCCTTAACATTTTTTTTTCCTCATTNAGGGAACTTTTTCACGCATTTGGAAGTCAAATCATGTATTAGGTTTTTCTCCTCTTCTCTGTAAATGCGTTTTGTAACTTGGGTTAGGGTTTCATATTCATTCTGGTTCTTCTCTGTGTGAATTTTTCTAGAGGCTTATTTTGAGGGCAGGGTGTTCCTTAAAGGGTATAGAGTACTCTAGTGGTTATTGAGATTTGCAGGATAAAGGGAAGTGAATGAGTGTGTGAATGTGTTGTTGACAGTGAAGGAGATTTGTCTGTAATCTGTAATCTTTGAAGTGATTAATCCTAGTGCAGTGACTTCCATATTCTGGAGCTCAACGTGGATGTAACTTGTTCTATATTGAACAAGTGAACCACGATATATTGTGTGTTGTGTGTTGTGTGATTTCTTGTTCTTGCGTTTGATTTGATCTGAGATTAATTTGGTGGTTTGAGTAATTAGGATTGATTTACAACAGAAGTGTTGAGTCAAACTAGTCATTCCGACACAAGTTCGTGATCATAGTCACCATGCATTATCTTCCAGCAAATTACTCATAAGTCATAATCAATGCCGTGAATCATGCACTTGACGAAGACCATCAATCATGTCTTTCTCTTCATAATTAAAACTCTTTATTTACTTATACTATCTGCGATTTATATGCATTTAAATATTATCCATTACATTTGTTTGCTCCTTAAGGAAGGTGCTGTGAACATTCGGCGTAAAGACATGTGATTTGTGGTCACCACCCACTGGAGTCCAGTACAGTGATCGGTGCTATGTTTTTGGACTTTTACGTGGAAAGTTATTTGCACCAAACTTTACTCCTATCAAACATATCTTCTGTGTGTTGCGTGGAAAACCTTCTGCCACAAGCTGCAATGTTGACTAAACAGACTGAAAATGACTAATCTTTTGTCAAGTTTATGTATGAAAATACTCTTCCATATAAAATATCCTTGGTATTTAGTATATGATTAATTGAGAACCTCCTGATATTATTGCAATTGGTTTCCGAATCTTCATTGAACCTTGTCACAGAGACAGAGGGACCCTTTTTCTATTGTATGTTTTAACTTTAACTCACAGATAAAGCCATTGCTCATTGGCTTCCGCTCAGTGTTTTCAAAACTTCGAAAAAGTAAAAGTAAATTTCTTTCTGAATAATAAAGACATTTTAAAACAAAAAGAAAGTTGCTACTTAGCTGTAAAGTATGTAGCTAAATTTCTAAGTACATTCTTCAAGATTATTTAATATTCAGAAGCTTGGCATGTAGTGAATCAAATTGATAATCAAAGCTCAGTTTACACCTTAATCTCAAGTCACCATGCTGCATTGAGAACTTGAAAAGAATCATTTGTTATCTGTTACTGTGAGACTGTAAATTTTCTCTCTCTATTTCTGGGCCCATTGGAAATCATATTCAAAGATCAAAATGGCAATGATTGACTCACGAGTGCCGTATGGATAATGCACAACAACCATTTTATAATCACATTTTGTATTAACAAAAGCCATACCTTCTAAAATTTTCATTGAAATCTCCTCAAGAACCCCTAAACTCAAGCTGCATATCATAATGCGGCCTCTGCAATGGATACTCATCTTCTCAATCTGTGCAACTCTTTTTTTGACAACAAAAGCCGGCCCTGGGGCTGATAAAATCACTAGTTTGCCTGGTCAACCACAGGTCACTTTTCAGCAATATTCAGGATACATAACCATAGATGAGAAGCAAAAGAGAGCTCTTTTTTACTACTTTGTTGAAGCAGAAACAGACCCAGCTTCAAAGCCACTCGTTCTTTGGTTAAATGGAGGTAAATTTCCATTGATGATTCTGCATCACAAAGGGAACAATTTTAACTAAATGGCTTAAATAAAAAAATTCTGGGTTTTGTAGGGCCTGGTTGTTCTTCCATTGGAGCTGGAGCTTTCGTGGAGCATGGTCCTTTTAGGCCAAGTGGAGACGTGTTGCTCAAAAATGAATATAGTTGGAACAGAGGTGCTAAACATTTAACAAGTAAACACAGAGTGGAATAGTTTTAACTTAATTTACTTACATGAGTTCCTCTTTTTTGTTCAGGAGCAAATATGTTATACCTGGAATCACCTGCCGGGGTTGGCTTCTCCTATTCAGCAAATAAATCTTTCTACTCATTTATCAACGATGAGATCACAGGTTTCTCTTTTTCTTTAAACATTTTGTTTTGCTCAATCCATACACAGAAATTTGAAAATTTTCTTTTGTTTCTGTGATATTTTGCCCTGATAGCATTACAATTTAACAATTATTTTTAAGCACGAGATAATCTTGCCTTCCTGGAAAATTGGTTCAAGAAATTCCCAGAGTACAGAAATAGAGATTTTTTCATCACTGGGGAGAGTTATGCCGGTAATTTGAACGCATTTAGTACATTTTTTTTTTTCTTTTGTTACTGAATTGACTATAAAAGTTTAGTTAGAAAGGAAAAGTTTCAGATACTTCGTTTTCTTATTAGGCCACTATGTCCCACAACTAGCACGACTCGTAATTCAATCCAACATGAAGTCCAATTTCAAGGGAATAGCAGTAAGTGAAGAGAAAAGTTTTGAAAGAAGAATAAATTATTTATTTGCATTAATTTGATTAAGAAAATAAGCTCAAACATTTGATTTTGCAGATAGGGAATCCCCTTTTGGATTTTGATACTGATTTCAACTCAAGGGCTGTGTACATTTGGTCTCATGGACTGATATCAGATTCTACTTTTGAAATGTTCACTTCAGTGTGTAACTACTCTCAAATTAGTAGAGAGATGCAAAATGGAACTCTTACCACTGTTTGTTCTGAAGTTATAAGAGAAGTTTCAAGAGAAGTCAGCAGATCTATTAATGCTTATGATATTACTATCGACGTTTGTTTATCGCCAATTTCTGCACAGTCTCAGCTTCTGAATAAAATGGTGAATCTTGAACTCACTCTAGTTTACATTTCTTTTTATTCCACAACTATCAATATCTTTTGAAACTCTGCTTTAAATACTTATTGATGTTTGGGGTAACAATATGAATTCTAAATTACAGCTGCAAGCAGAAAAATTAGATGTTTGTGTGGAAGATGAAACAGATAAATACTTGAACCGAAAAGATGTACAGGCAGCTTTGCGTGCTCAGCTTGTTGGAGTTACCGAATGGACATTTTGTAGCGAGTAAGGTTTATTTAAGTAAATAGCATTGCAAATATTTTAGTCACATCAATATTGCAGTGACTTAGGATGGTAGGCTTAGTAATTGTATACTGCAATTGTTTTTTTTTTATCCAAACACATTTTATAATTTCAGGACTTGTTCATGATGTCATTTAAAATTTCCAGACTATATGTGCTGCAGGAAAGCAAAGATGATTCAATTAGTTTTTTTACTGATTTAGATTTACTCTTATATTTCAACTTGTGTCTCTTATCAACAGTGTGATCAAATATGATGTGCAAAACCTAGAAGTACCTACCATTCATATTCTGGGAACACTTGCCAAATCTGGCATCAGGGTCTTGGTTTACAGGTGCAGCAAGAACAATTTTCATAAATTTTTCCATAATTTATATTTCCGACACCATATATATATATATATGTAAGATCCTTGTGGTAGTAACATAAAACTTTAAATTTCTTCAGTGGGGATCAGGATTCAGTTATCCCATTAATCGGAACCCGGAAATTAGTGAATGAATTGGCAAAGGAGTTGGGACTGAAAACAACTGTGCCTTATAGAGCTTGGTTTGAGGGAAGACAGGTTAGTCAATTTGCACAACCATATGATTCAACATGAATCACACTGTTAAATACTCAAAGTTGAAACCAACATCCAACAATTTTTTTTGGCCTACTTTTATCCAGGTTGCTGGATGGACACAAGTATACGGCGATATCTTATCGTTTGCTACAATTAGAGGAGCATCTCATGAAGCTCCATTTTCACAGCCTGAGAGGTCACTTGTTCTGTTTAACGGATTTCTGGCAGGAAACCCACTGCCAGAAGAAGCATAAAGGTCTAGTGACCAAATTCATGAATAATCAATGGTGAGATTATAATTAATGCCAGTAATTGTTGTAAGAAAAACATATTGTCATTTTCATTTTTGTTACCTTCTGAAGCAAAAATTGTGACCACTGGAAGAGATAACCATTCTCTTAACTAGGTAGTTGTTTCAGTTCTTGGTCTGAGGAAGTAACAGCTATTGATTGCTGGAAGTATTTCCCTCAATCTTCAGGATATTATCTTTTGAGTGTTTTAAAAAAAAAAAAAACCTCAAAAATTCAAACACTATTATTCTCCCCCAAACTAATTTTGAAACTACTCCACAAAAATGCTAATGGAGAGGAGTAAATTTTCAACTAAGTAAAATTGTACATAAAATGTATTTTTAGTAATTTAACATGAATATAACCTTTAAATTTTTGAACATAAACATAAAATTAATAAAATTCACCTTTCAGCTGAAGCATCAATTATTAATAAACAACAGCCTTTCATAAACAACATATATATAGCCAAAGCCATAGAATTCAAATCATCATTTCCTTCAAACATTTTTTTCTTCTTAAAATCCGAAGTGATTCTTNAATAATATATCTAGAGCCCAACATTTCTTCTCAAGGATGAATTATTTTGATCCCTCATCTATGCCTTGAAGAATTGTCACCCTTTTCGTTTTGAAAGCTAGCAGCATACCCCCAAACGTTGGTTTTCATCCATTTGAATCATAAGTTTGCCAACTTCAAATATAAAAATACTAAATTTACCCCTATTAATATAATTAAAATCCAAAATTAAACAATTAATATAAATTAATCGAACAAAGACTAATTAGAGAATCAATTAACTAAATAAAATTTATTAATGAAAATACTTAAATTAAGGAAAAAAAAAAAAACACAAAATCAAAACTCATTCATCTATCGTCAGTTAGGGGTGAGCATGGGTAGCGGGTAGAACCGGAACCGGGGGTAAGAACCGGGACCGGAACCGGAACCGGAACCGGAACCTACCTAGAACCTGTACTGTGCGGTTCCGGTTCTTGCATGCTAAGAACCAGAACCGGAATCGGAACCGGAACCTGTAAAAAGGGTACCCTGTTTGGAACCTGTAGGGGGTACCCGGTTTGGAACCTGTTTTGAAACCTGTTTAGAACCTGTTTGGAACCTGTTTTGGAACCTATTTGGAACCTGTTTTGGAACCTGTTTTTGGAACTTGTTTAGAANTGAAAAAAGCCACGTGCTCAAGGGTCCTAGTTGATAACTCAACAACCATATACAATCATTATATGTCATTTGTATCCCAGTGACTCGACCAGTCATTTTATTTCATTTTTGTTTACTTAATTCTAGCTGGACAATCATTTGTTACTTTTAACCTAGGCAGCACGGTCAAATATTCCATAACGTACCACATCAGTCATAACTATGAGCTTGAGCCAAAACATTTTCTCAATTGTTAAACCTTTGTAGAAGTTATTTTTTTCTTGAATAAAATGGCTAAAAACTGAAGGTTGGAGACATTTAGAAAAGTGACATTACTAAACTTAACAATAAACCTTTTGTAATTAAAAATAATTTCAATTTTCAAAATACAAAACATTTTAGTATTTGGGATGTGTTTGTTTTAGTATTTTAGATAGTATTTTTAAAAAAGTAAGAATTGGGTGGTAATAAGTAATAACGAGATAAGATTTAAAAATTTGACAAAAACACTTCCTATGTTTGTTAATTTACTAAACATCCTGTAATAAAAATATTAAAATTACAAAAACAACCCCCACTCCACCCGTTAAATACTGACAGCTAGCCACCACCATCAGAGAGTGGCCGGAGTCGCCGTATCAACGTACGACCAGCTGGATCTGGTCGATTATGCACCGAGATGACCGTGTTTGTTCATCAAAGACGGCCAAATATATGGTTGTCGTTGATGGTTAACGTCGTCATTGACGACTAGTTACTATCAAAGATCTAGTCGTCAATGACCAGATCTTGGTAAAAAATATCAAATCCACGATGGATCTAGTTGAAAAAGGCTATATTGATGTAATACCGGCCAAATCTAGTCGGTAGTGCGCTATTATATCAGATTCTGGCCACCTTTCGATGGAGGTAGTCAGAATCTGTAAATGTGTATGGATGAGAGTATTTTTATTAATTTTTAAATTTTTTTTGAGAGTCTTTAGTTAAATTAATAAATTTGATGAGTTTAAAAAAGTTGAATAAAAGATAAAAGTACTTTTTAGAATAGAAAAATGTACGTGTATTTGAAAATGATAGGAATAGGACAGGCACCCGAAATCATATATTAATAATATTATGTGTTTTTTTCTGTAAAATATCTTGAAGAAAAGGTTGGCTTCAAGTCAACGCTATAATTCCATTCTTAGTTTCCGCAAAACCTGGTGCTAGTCCTTGCATTTAAATGAGGATTAGGTACCACAGGCTTCTATAAATTTGCCTAAGTAACTGCAGAAATCATATATTAGCAATATTATGTGTTTTTTTACTGTAAAATATCTTGAAGAAAAGGTTGGCTGCAAGTCAACGCTATAATTCCATTCTTAGTTTCTGCAAAACCTAGTGCTAGTCCTTGTATTTAAATAAGGATTAGGTACCACAGGCTTTTATAAATTTGCCTAAGTAACTGCAGTTTCACTTACAGACTAATAAAACATGATGAGAATTGAGTCATGGATAATCATCACTACAATCTGTGCAACTCTGTTCCAGTCCTTTTTAACAACCAAATCTGTCCCTGAAGCTCATAAAATCATCAATTTACCGTACATGATTATAATTTCTTAATTATAAACATTAATTGTAAATTTATGGTTAATTACTTAATAATTATACATTCTATTATAAACATATTACATACTTAATTAAATGATTACATTAATTAATTATAATATTACATTATATTAAACCTAACCAAATAGTATATTTGTTAGGGTGTATTTGTAAACTTTTAAGTATTTTTGTCATTTTTAAAACTAAGGGGGTAATAATTTTTTATAGGGTACCCTGGAAAGGAACCGAACTTGCATTTAGATTTCGGTTCCTTGAATTGAAAACCTACACGTGCGGTTCCGTTCCGATTCCGGTTCTAGTTCTGGTTCTCCCAGAAAATGGGGTATCCGATCGCTCACCCCCTAAAAATGGGACTCACTCATCCATTTTACATAACATTATGATATGTTGGAACTTGGAATTCAGAGTTAATTTCATTAGCTCCTCTAACTGAATAAAATTTAGTTTTGGTATCATATTTGGATTCAGTTGCCATTTTAAGGCAACAGGGAGCCAATTTTTATTTATTCCCTACTCATGGTACAATATTTATGTATCGTATACTGTATTAATCCATCAATATTATTATGTTAGGGTAATGTTTTTAATCTATCGAGGAAATAATATTTAATTTTAGAATTATTTATTTTCGTGTATGTTACCAAGGGTAAAAAATACAAGGCATTTCTTTAAGCAAGAGTCATGAAGTGAAAACAGCTAGGAAGTAAAGGCACGATGCCGAGACAATAGGTTACAGGTATCTTCATGAGACCTCAAAACGCCCAATTTCCTCACACTAACATCTGATTGATAAGTTCTAAGAATGGCCTGTTAAACCCAATAAATCCTGCAAAATATTCTTCCATTCCCCATCTTAGCTGTCTTTACAAAATTGTGGATATAACCCTTCTCTTACAACCACAAGTTGTTGAAATTGTTGTCAATCTCAGAAACCTTAACCAGATATACTATGCACTATACCGCATATTGGATGTCTGTTATGTACCCCAAAAGAGAAAGAAAGTTCCATGGATATCGCAACTGTAACATGAAGCATCACATGCATCACAATGGCATGACTGACTTACACGACATAGAATCGTAGATCATCTACGCTGACCTCCTTTTGTCCTTTCTCTTTCTTCTAAAAGCTTCCCTTGCCAGTTTCTTCTTCCTTTCCTGCAACTCCAGTATCCTCTCTTCAATACTGTTTCGAGCAACAGCCTCACAATCTTCACGTTCTCCTTTTGACCAATACGGTGTACCCTGTCCATAGCCTGTTCCTCAACTGCTGTTTCCACCATGGCTCCAACAAGAAGACTCGAGAAGCGCTGCAAGGTTGATACCCCACCTGAAGCCTTAAGACTCGCCAGCAAAACAGTTGTCCACCTGTTTCTGGAACTCTAACCCTTCGATTACTTCACTCTCCTTCTTGCATTCATTGACCATCTAGGCGTAGAACTTGAACCAGCTGCTTTTAATGGCTCTTCAAGCAATATCAACATTTTACGGAATTGTGAAAATCAACCGACTTTATGAAGTGTTTTGGTTCCTTAGTGCAAGGAGTACTTAATAGAGTGGACCTTTTGAAGGTGAATTTCTAGAAGAAGAGTTTCAGTATTGTCAGTGTCATATGATTCTGGGGGTGAAGAGAACAGGTCAGATTGTGATAAAGGATGCGACAAGGGGGCAGCAGGGTTTTGTGTCTGTATGGTTTTTAGGATGCAGATCGGCAAAAGATGTGAGCACAACATGTAATTACAATGTCAGCAGGGAGAGATGCAATTGGAAGTCACAAATCTTCACCATCTTGTAGCACTGCAACCAGCTTTTTCAGCAAGTCTGGGTTATTGAACTCTGCTTGAAATCAAATTCAGGTTGAAGTACACACGTCATATGCCCTGCGAATATGGTACCAAAGATAATTTGCAAAGCTGTCCACACATGACAACTTTTCCAGTAAAAACCCCAAGGAGTCTACACATTACAAAGAAATAATGCGGTAGATAACTACTACAACCATTGATTGGCAGTACTACGCAAAATTTGCTGCCTACATTGACCAATAATGCTTTTGTCATGTGCTCATCTAGCCTGTATTAGCACAAGCTTACTCTTAAAGTTCTAAGATGGCACTGCTGCAGTTGCTGCCATCGCCTCTTAATGGGAACCAAGGTATATATACGAACAAAATATATCAATATACCACCAAATTTTGACCTATAAACAAAACAAAAAAAGATGGCTAAAACAATCTCAAGCAATTCAAAACGTAAAAAAAAAGGCTAAGTATAGAATAGGATAAATTGCTCATATTTAGACAGAAACTAGATGAAACCTCATAGTACCTGACTAAATTAGTTTTTAAATGGCAAATTAAAAGTTGCAGAAGAGACTGTCTTCCGGGTAAAATTGATGAACTGAAAGGTGAGCTATGCA